TGCGCAAAAAAAACATTTACAAATTAAATCAGTAATTGAGGAATTTAGACAAATGTTACTAACCTTGATATCATTCATCATTGTATGTTGTGTAACGCCGCAATCTAAATGATGTAAGAACCCATTTGCCTACAAAGTTTTAAGTTTGCTGGCAAGCCAGGGGACAATTTATTGGTATATTTAAGAAAAAGGAAGATAGGGTCAAGCAGACGTCAAACAGAAGTAATGCCAAATGCTATATATAACAGCTGGCGGCTGGATAGTTACTACAGATATGAGACCCGTGAAGATCCGGGTGTGGATCTAATGAAGTGTGGGATACTACAGGCTGACGAAGAGGTATGGTATTCGATATTTGGCAGCTGGTCAGTGATTTGAGTGGTTAAAGTTAAAATACTTTCTGTAAGTAAGGACTTGACCTTTGGACAGTGACTAGGCAGGTTGACTCTCTGACGCATCTGGGATGACATGTCTGTCTCATTATCATAATCATGATTGTATAGATGCTGTATGAACTATTATATCATAAATAAAGTGTTGTGTACCCACTGATGGACTCCTGTGTTTGAAGAACAAAAGATATCCCAACATCACAGCCAAGAATACTATAAACAGTGACAAGACGGTTTAGTGGGATTAAGTTTTCTTATTATGGTAATGACACTATGCATAGTTATATACGAGAGACTAATGAAACCCTGGCTAGCCAAATGGAAAAGGGATTGGAGCACTGACTTGGAGATGGTGTCATTTGATACAGAAGGCGCGCGCTCACAGCGGAACACTACCTACCCTCTGGCCCTCATATGACCACGGCAAACAGGGGCCATCGAGAAGATGAACCAACTGGTGTGCGAAATCTATATCCAAAACTGACCCAGGGTGTGGCCGACCAAACAGGAAATTCACGGACCAAGTCAACGTCTATGTGAGAGTTGTGTACCATTCACAGTGATTTGTGTGTTGTGGGCCAGCCAACAAGGTTGCCATGAGAACAAAGGACATACATGTACCCCTAAATGTGTGTGGGCATGGTGCCATTATGCTTAATGCACATGGACAGTTCATTAATATGGTGCATCTGAAAATTCATGATTAACCACAAGAATGTAGTACAATTGAAAATTTGTGGTGTCACGATTCTCACAAGAAAAGGGCGAATGTAACACTATAAATCCGAAGTGATGCAGGTCTCTAGCGTTTACCACTTCCGTGAAACCCACGAGGGTCGAAGAAACGTGAGCAGTTAGGAACCGGTAAGACCAATTGCAAGCCAATTAACCTATAAGGATCTGTGTTTTCCAAGATATATATGTCCACTGGAATTAGTGAGATTTCCGACAGGAATGACCTTATCAACATTTAAAATATCAACATAATTACTGTGCCATGTATGACCCTGATCTGTGTCCATCTACCTATATGTATACATATGTCAAGCATGTATTAAGGGTGAAGGTAGGTCGTCATGAAATATTCGCCTCGACTCAACACTGTACGGAATAGGATCATATTGACATCTTTCCCTCCTACTTAGCAAAATAACCTGCGGGGGATACACTACCGTTGACCTGGCTAGAGCAGGCATGTTAGCCACGGAGGGATGTCTAAATAAGGGGTGAGAGAAGTCAGTCATTTTCTTAGAACTCAAGGATATTCTTCGAATACAAGTCCAAAAAGGAGATACCCTCATGGTCACTGCATTGATAACATGGGGGACTGCAGACGAGGTGCTACTGGTCTGTAGGTATAACCTTATTAGGACAACGGTCAGGAATGTAAGATATGTTGGGAAAATGTATATATGATTGTGAACCGCTGAGCGGGGCAGTCGAGGCTGAGAGTCAGAGCTACACGTTGTAACTGTGTCTCAATAAACCCTCAGACGGACTTGTGTCGTATATAGAAGGAGTCAAGAAGAAGCATCCCTTCGAATACAAACCTTCTACGGCAGATATATTGGTGGAGAAAAGATAACTGTACCTCCAAGCGGTAAGAACACTGAGGTTTGTGTACCTGTAATCTTCATTAATTTCGTTTGGGGTCCACAACAGCACTAAAATTCCATCCGACTGTCTGTAAACACCATTCTAGAGCACCAACAACTTATGTTTTGGTACAAACAATACCAGTGCTCAATAAGTCAAGAACTTGTGTAACAAATAACTGGACCTGAACCCTTACAGCCCTCATTATACTTATACAGTGTGTTTCAGCAGTGTCAGAAAAAAATCTTTCATAGCACTGACGACCTTTGACGGTCCAATCACAAGAAGTCCACTCCAGCCAACTACGCTGATGATGACCATCAAGATATCTTCCCACTTTATCTAACTGGAATGGCGGCCGAATGGTACGAAGGTACAAAGAACATCGCATCAATGTCCTGGCCAGAATTACGAACCACCTTCCTACGGCGGTATTCCTCGTCCTCAATGAGCCTCATTACTTGCCAAAATACTCTTCTGGATCGTAAACAAAAGGCTGGTCAACCATTTTCCACCTTCTTACAATCGATTCATGAAGCCGAACTTCTCCATAGAAATGATGATCCTTATACCAAGGATCTTATAATACCTTGCCCCATATTCGTCAGTTTATTCTTACCCATCCCCATAACTCACTAGAGCAGGTAATTGACAGTGCAAAGATATCTGATGCAACGTCAAGGTTATCAGATTCCGAATGACCTTACTGCTTAGGTAAATGCACTCCACTCACCGCACATCAATGTAGTGAACTCTGGCTATCACTCCCAGCCATATGGCCAACGCATAGATCATAATACTGCTTCTCACCCCCTATACTACATAGGTCAAGGTAATCATTTTCAACTTCGTTTCGACCAAGTCCAATAACTCACAGAACCTCACGTCAACTACCAGTATTCCAAGGTGCCACTGCACAGAATCCCTATTCAAAACATTTCCGTGGCTATTTTCATTCATCGCCACAGGAATGTAAGGTCTAATATCTCCGTTGTTATAAATGTAACAAACAAGGTCACCACATCCCCCTCAGCAAAATACCCTGAGGGAGGATACACCTTTGAACTACTGTTGACCTACTGTTAGCCACGGAAGCATGTCTAAATAAGGGGTGAGAGAAGTCAGGGATATTCTTAGAACTCAGCGATATTCTTAAACATACTTAAACAGTGTGTTGTAGCAGTGTCAGTAAAAATCTTTCATAGCACGACCTCATTGTGCTCATAAGATCTCCACTCCAGCAGTGACCATCTCATTGTACTCACCATTGACACTCCAGCTCAAGTCCTCCTTCCCGTGTCACTAGTGACTATCTCCCTGCTATCAATATGGTCGTCCAGCCTCAGGTCTACCACTGCAAAATCTGTTTGTCACCAACGACAGTGCAACCGCCAAGGCTTCTGTTCAGTGACAGTATCAAGAACCATGAACTATGTAAACTACCAGAACTGCTCCAGATCGCATTCTCCATTTTGGTGAGCAACTTGTTTTTGTTCTCCCTTAGACTCAGTTATTTTAACTATATTTTTGTTATTAATTTTCTGAATATTTATACTTTGTCTGTCTACAAACTTAAACCCTTTAACGCTGACGACCGCCTGCCACTGCTCGTTCCCGAAATTTTTCTGAAATTCAGTATCAGAGTACATCTGTAGCGAGTCACATCCCTCCTATCAATCCTCCCGACATGTAAATCGTTCTTCCCCCTCCCAGGACCCCTTTCTCTCCAAATTGGGCCACATTCGATGAAACTGGGCCTACCACACCCCCTTCACAGTAGCTAAGTCTATTCTCCAAGCCTCACCCCTAGTGAGTGAGTGAGTGAGTGAGTTGAAATTTAACGTCGCATCGGCATTATTTCAGCCATATAGCGACGAGACCAAGCTAATATATACACAATTAAGTTATTTATGCAATGTCATATTTAAAAACAAGTGATGAAAGATATGAGCATAACAATATCATTAATAGTTTAAAACACGGGCTATAGGCCACCAGTAACCAAAGCTAGGCCACCTCGCTGTGGATCATGGATATACACCCAGCAAACAATTCTACGTTGTGACAACGTTGTGACAACGTTGACTTTTCGTTGCTACAACGTTGTGATGTTACGTTGTCACAACGTAAATCTGTAGACTCCCAGATTGGTTGCTACAACGTTGTGCGTAAACCAAAATACAACCAAATCAAGACGTTGTCACAACGTCCATTTTTTACGTTGCTACAACGTTTAACCAAAACGTCGCGACAACGTACCCAGCCAACAATTCTACGTTGTTACAACGTTGTGACAACGTTTACTTTTCGTTGCTACAACGTTGTGATGTTACGTTGTCACAACGTAATTCTGTAGACTCCCAGATTGGTTGCTACAACGTTGTGCGTAAAACCAAAATACAACCAAATCAAGACGTTGTCACAACGTCCATTTTTCACGTCGCGACAACGTAGGTATCGCATACTGTTTACATATGGCGACACTACAGGCATTGCAGCACGTTGTTGCAATGTCCATGTAGATTAACGCCTGTTTTATTCCTCAATACCTCCCAGGCAGCCTGAAAAGTTTGTACCAATCTAGTTAAGACGTCAGGTACAAAGAAATACATTCTGCAAACTGAATTCACTTTAACCCTATCCATGAAACAGCAAGTCAATGAAATGCACTCTCTTTTGGCAGAGTTTGAAATACGGCCAAGATATAAATCTAAATGTTTTAAATTACATGTACAATTTGGTAATATAATATTCATTTTCCAAAACAATTTTCAAGGCTATGTGCAAATTGTTCACAAATGTTTCAACACAATTAAAAGATATTGGATTTTCCCACGAATTTGCAAATTAAAAACAATCAAACAATAAGCCCTGCACAAATTGAAACATTTAAATTTTCTTGTCCTTACCTCATACATTCAGCATTGAGAGCAACACTGTGACAAACAGAATAGTCTATGCATCTGATGTCCTAAGATCCATTAGGTAAACGAAATGACAATAGAATTCTGGTTGAGGTGACCTTTATTTATTTGTTAAATGACAAGTCAGAACATGGGCTGGGGAGCTGAGTTGCTGGGGAGCCTTTTCAGTCCTCAAATGAAAAGTCACAGGGATGATCTTCAACTGTATCCTCAGTCTCTCCTTATGCCTTGGTAACTGAATAAAAAATGACACAAATGTTATAAAATGGCAAGGCAAGGGACATATTTCTGACATAACAAAATAACGGTTGCATTCCCCAAAATAATGTTTTGATGTCTGATGTCAGTCTTTAAACTGTTAAAAACTGCTGAAAGTGCGAAGGCGCTGACACTAATACCATGATGCTCTTGGATCATACATAAGCAGAAAAGCTTTTAGCACTGAATCATTGGTGTAACTGTATACCCCCGCCCTTTTAGATTGTGGGTATAATTAAATAAGAATCATCTAAATTTTAATTCTTGAAGATGTTTGTATATATTATTGAATCAGACATACCTTTCTGTCAGTGATATGTACTTTAAACAAATACGCTCCCACAATACTGTTTTCTCCACCTGAAAGAAAAACAGAAACCACAAAGTATCACATTCTTAAATAAACCAGTACTGTATAGATAAATCACATTTACTTAGACTAATAGAGTATGATGTAACTGTGATGTAATATTGGCAAATAGTTTTATCAGTCAACAGATCAACTGTAGTTTTTCAAAAGCAGTAACTTTACCTTTCTGCTGTACACTCAAACTAGTGATTCAAGTGAATATCATGGCCAAGTTTCTAAAACCTTATTTGAAAAATATGTACATAAATGAAAAATATATATTGCCAAATAAAATAAATAGTTCCCATATTTGAAGCAAGAATGTTGAATATGAATTATGAATTGGCCCACCAATAAGTGATAAAAGTGTTAACACTTTGGGGTATTTATCCTAATTAAAACTGTGATTTTTTTTAATACTTAGATCTACCTTAATATTTTCCATATTAATATGCCAGGATAGTTATATATGTTCTAACATTTACAAAGATTAGAAACGTGGGGAAATAAACAAAATGCAATAGCTTATACAATACCAGACGAAGTTGAAACAGCTCTAAATATTTATTGAAATTTATTTGTCACTACGTTTATTAACATAGATCTAATACAGTTAAATATCGTTAAATATAATTCTGTATTATGGTAGCCTACGTGGCAACATATGCAGATGGAAAACCGAAAGAATATGGTTGCTATCAATTCCATTGTATTTTTCATTGGTGCACATTGGCTACACCTATCTCACTTTAATAATCAACAAACGATGACCAACTCACTGACAGTATATGGTGATATTTAACTTTTGACTATCGGCTAGCTTATCATCACCAGAGAGGACAATACCGCAAACACCCCGTTATAGCGCGCGACGAGAGACTCGTTTTACTTTTGTTTGCTCGTTTTCATTAGAAAGGAGTCGGACATAGATCTAGTTATCGGAAAATGATGAATTGATTCTTTTTTCGGAAATAATAAAAATACACATGATAAGCACCTTGCTATGATAAACTTTATAGACAGCAGCAACAACCTGATGATCCACATTTAGGCTACTTCAGTCAGTGCTAATTAGGCCTTTTCGGAAACATCAAGTATGTTTCTGTCTCTTCCCGAAAATACGATTTTTTTCATAACATCATTGATCACTTTAGACTAGGGCTATAACTAGCAGCCTACAGAGAGTCGATCTGAATACTTCCATTGTTTTGATTCCCTCTTTTCGCTGTATAAGAGAAATCTACTTAACCTTTCCCATGGCCTGGATGAGCCACATTGTTGCACAAAAATCAAAGTCAGAAGATTAGTACATGTAAACTTTAAATAGTAATGATTTCAGAAATAACACAGAAGAAATGGCGATAACTGTCAGTGCGGTCAGTAGGCGATGCATAAGTTAGGCCTATTTACAAATCTACACGCTTACGAACGAAACCCGAACATAATATGACGGCCACAAAACGCCACCAGATTGAATTCTGGTCAAAAATATACCGCTTGCCCTTGGCAATTACCCTTGGTATCCATAAAATAATAATATGGAAAAAAGTCTTGGGCCCCCTTCACCTCTATCATCAAGTTCTGTGTATCATATTAATATCAACACTGACGCTCAGTGAAAATGACCGGCAAACTGCATGCCATTCTTAACCCTGCCACTTCTGAATAATACGATACATTTAGATCATTTGACGCACTGCATGCACAGAAACATATCAACAAGCGGAGACTATTTTTGAAAAATTAACTTACCTCAATCGAATTCACAGATCATCTGTCCAGTTCCAGTTGCTGCACAATCACTTGCTTGTAATATATTATGTCCAGAGTGAGTTTGAGCTAAGATGGCTGGTGACAACAAATCTTCCGCGACAATGTGACGTCATTCTGACGTCACTTCACGAGGCAAGAGGCTAAACTTTTCTGCAGTCGCTCTCACGCCGCAAAAAATACGCGCCAATTGTTTTTAACTGTAATATTGCTTGTGACAACATTTAGTTCGTTAATAGATATATATGTTTAAAAAAAATAACACTAAGAGATGGTAGATCTACAAGTGGTTTCCTAAACATCATTTACAAAAAGTACTGTAATGTCCAAAGCACAAAGTTATCACAACGTTAATTTGCAACGTTGTTGTAACGTTGTCACAGATATACGCAATTACGTTCTCGAAATATTAGTATTAAGAGATGAAAATTCAAATGCCGAATATATAGAAAGGTAATGCATTACTACCTTGGTTTTCTGACAAATTCATGTTGATTTTGATAAAGCAGTTCTATTCCTTTATGACTATCGAGAAGCAAACTCAATAACGTTTCACCGACGTTTCAGAAACGGAGTTACAAAACGTTGTGTGATGTCCAATGCACAACGTTTTCACAACGTGAATGTGCAACTTTGTTATTACGTTGTGAAATAACGTTGCAGGTCGACGTTAAAATAACGTTGTTACAACGTTATATCACGACGTTACCAATCCACAACCTTTCAACAACGATGGAAGTGCGAATCATGCATGTATGGCGAAAATGTTATTGTCATTGTTTGTTGTTTAATCGCCTCTTACGACAAGCACGGGTTGCTGAAAAGTGAAAACCAAATCTAACATTATTGTAATTTTCTGCCAAAATGTAGTTTATTTCGAGTAAACACCTTTGTTTTTACGCTTTTCGCGATGAAGACTATTTGACGTCGCACCAACGTATGAGAAACGTTGTCATCATAACGTTGCATGGCGCCCGATGCACAACGTTTCCACAACGTAATTTTGCTACGTTGTGATTACGTTGTCACATAACGTTGGAGTGACGTGATAATAAGGTGTTTACACAGACTTTAGTTTATTTACGAGATGGAAATCCTGATTCCGAAGATATAGGTAAATAATGAATTACTGCCTTGTTTTTGGCAGAAATTGTGTCGATTTGTATGTAAAACTTTTGTTCATACAATTTTTGTTAAGGCGACAGTTGACGTCGCACCAACGTTTCAGGAACGATGTAACAAGACGTTGGGAAATATTCGATGAACAACGTTTTCACAACGTAAAAATGCAACGTTGTTATTACGTTGTGAAACGACGTTGCACAGTGACGTAATAATAACGTTGTGACAACGTTGTATCACTACGTTACCAATTCACAACTTTACCACAACGTTGTGAAAACGTAGTGTGTTAGCTGGGCAGGAGTCATATGTGCAGATACACCCTTCATCCTTTCTCCCACGGCACCCTCTTCGCACATCCCCACGCCCGTCACCCATCCAACAGCCCCAGGCCAATACTTTATCTACATTGTCAAGAGCAATAAACTATTCTCGACTCCCCTACCAATGTCTGTTGGAAAAGATCCCGTAGCAGCAACAGCTTGGCTCCGCCACTATGAGAAATTTGCTTCTGCCCAAAACTACGCTGATGATGACCATCAAGATATCGTAAAACAAAAGGCTGGTGAACCATTTTCCACCTTCTTACAATCGATTCATGAAGCCGAACTTCTCCATAGAAATGATGATCCTTATACCAAGGATATAATATAATACCTTGCCCCATATTCGTCAGTTTATTCTTACCCATCCCCATAACTCGCTAGAGTAGGTAATTGACAGTGCGGAGATACCTGATGCAACGTCAAGGTTATCAGATTCCAAATCTAACACCATGCTGTGTCACAAAAATTGTTATGAAGAGGGTTTGACCGGCGCCTGTGAGTCGGAGGAACATTAACCGGCTGTAAGGAGCAGCACCAAAAAGGGACTGACCGGGGATACCCAGGACTAGGGTCGATAAGAGGCGGGGAATAGGGTTAAAATCAATATGAGACGGGAAATACCCGAGAGATTCCTGATAATGATCATATTAATGGCAAAGCCACTGACCAGATGCAGGGAGTTGTGAAACAAAGGATTGTAGCTGACTACACTGGGTATATAAGTGACCAGAGGAAATGTCTGAAGAAAGAGAGAGTTTAGACCCAGCCTGCGACTGTGACACATCAGTCATCGTCTAAATAAACATTCGTGGACCCTCAGATGGGTTTGTGTTGTTCATGCCGAAGTCATCGCTTAGATCATCCAACTCTAAGTGTGATACTGGTGCGAGAATCCAAACTCCGGTACCTTAAGCTCAAGCTTTCAAGATCAAGCCAAAGGTTATTGCTCAACTTTGTCTTTATCTGATTTGTCTACGCTTAAGACAGCATCGTGACGCCTCCACGTAACCCAGATGACTCTCCATCATTTCTGATCTTCTAATCTTCCCATGAGATCTTTTGTAATGTGCTGCTGACTGTCATATTCATTGCAATATCTGTCTTCTGAACGCCATCATATTCTTTATAAGTGCCAGCGTGTGAATTATAACAACTGTAGCTTCAAGAGCCAACTGTCCCTAACGCCGTCACTCACCATCAGGACCAGACACCCTCCTCATTCCCCTTACAGGACCCAGCGTCGCCACATCCTCCAAGAAGCAAACAATCACGAACCAGATCCTTTCGCAAGAACTGTTCTTAAGTGAACTTGTCAAGAGACCCTTTGTACTATTCACTATGGGTAAGCATCTTACATTACATGCTTCCTCTTACATATTACATTTTACATGAGGCAGTTTGTATATATGTCAGGATGACATTCTTCAAATTAAACCTTATCAATTAATCCTCTTTTACTACTCCCGGAATCTGTAAAGTCCCCCCGAATAACTCCAACCCAACACTTAAATCCACCCACAAAACCAATAGGCATGACTCGTTTAACCCCTTTTTCACCCAACTGGGAGACCTTAGATGACACCGGTCCGGTCACATTCCGTCGTACTGACAACCAAGCCCAGATTTATCGTCCGATCCCCCCTACCTATACTGACACCTCCCCCGTATTACAGGGATATCGGCTAACCAAACCCTATCTAATAACTCCTCCCCCACGTTGTACTGCCGCCCCCCACAAGTCTACTAATCAGGGCCGTTCAACATCCAACACTTAGTCCACATTATCGAGGGCAAGTAACTGTTCCTGCCCCTTTAGACACCCGGTAAGTGACCATTAACATATCGATAGATCAGCGCATTTAACTACACACACACTACACGAATGAGTGAGTGGGGTAAAATTTAACGTCGCATCGGCACGAATGAGAACGCTCACAATATACAACATATGTAAATGATTGTTATCACCTATTTCACAAATAAGGTACACATGCATGGTTTATAATACTTACACACCATCCTAATAAAAGCAGACCGAGTCAACTAAGTCAATGAGGAAACTACTGAAACAGTATGTGATATGGTATAGGTCCCAACGTGTGAAAGTTAGGAACGGAAGTGTGTAAACCAAATGGAATAGTATGGAGTTAAAAACTCATACTATGACATCCGAGTGTGTGACGAGTTAAGAACGAATAAACTGTAAGGGTTATGCTTGAGAATGGGTTATGAGTGAAGTGAGGTGTCAGCTGTCGGAACCAGGTACAGGCAACCCGCAGACAAACGAGACATCACGCCATTGGCTGGGGCCCCCCAAGAGAGACCAGTAGTCGTAGTGAGAAGGATTCAGAGGAAGTAGTATAGTGATCGAGAAAGAGAGAGAGAGATAGGTGTGAAGAAACAGGTACAGGACAACCACAGACAAAAGAGCCATCACGCCATTGTCAGTGGCCCTGGAGAGACACGAGGTGTCATGTAGCTCTGCGGCAGGGTTAGCTGATGGATTCCACCGTCTACCTGTCTCTCAACAGGCGTGCTCGATACCCATAGGATAGTGTTTACAGTGATCATTCACTCTCCTGTAAGTCCCG